GAGAGCACCCATATACATAAAGCCGCTAATAACAAACATAAAGGAGAGACTTTAACACCCCACTTACATCAATGGATAGATCATCCAGACAAAATAAAAAAGGCAACAGTGGCTTTGAATAACACATTGGACCAGATAGATCTAACAGATATATTCAAAATATTCCATCCTAAAAGACAGAAAACACATTCTTTCCAAATGCACATAAAATACTCTTCAGACATGTTAGGCCACAAAACAAGCCTCAACAAATTCAGAAAGACTTAAGTCATACCATGCTTTGAAACTAGAAACCAGCAGCAGCAACAACCAAACCAAACCAAAACAAAACAAAAATCTGGAAAAACACAAATACATGGAGACTAAACAGCATGCTACTAAACAATGAATGAATCAACCAAGAAATCAAAGAGGAAGTAAAAAATACTTGGAGACAAGTGAAATTGAAAATACAATGGTCCAAAATCTTTGGGATGCAGCAAAAGCAATCCTAAGGGCAAAATTTTATAACAATACATGCCTACCTCAAGAAGAAAAATCTCCAATAAACAACCTAACATTACACATAAAGTATCTAGAAAAAGAATAAACAAAACCCAAAGCCAGAAGAAAGAAGGAAATACTAAATATTAGAGCAGAAATAAATGATAAAGTCTCCAGGGGCCAAGATGGTAGAATAGCATGTGAGGTTTTTTTCTTGAGTCTCTTGTCTCTGAAATACAGCCAGATCAACACTAAACCATCCTGCACACCTAGAAAACTGATTTGAGGATTAACACAACAATCTGCACAATCTCAACCAGAGAATTCAACAGGTATGCGATGCGGAAAGGTGAACTAGGGGAGAGAGAAGTTGCGGAGGACAGGGAGCTGTGTTTGCTTCTGGAGAGAAGACAGAGATGGGGAGGGGGAATAGAGAAAGCACCCCCCTCCCCTGTCTGAAAGCAGCTGTAGACAAAAGAAAGAGGGTTTAAATATCATTAAGACTCTATAAGAGCAGAGTCTGAAACCTGCAGCTCCATAACTGGAGGTGCTCTGGCAGAATGGACAAATCCCTAGGAGCAGAGAGCAAGGTCCAAGGGGCCCTTGGGGCCACACAGGGAGAGGTGGTACCCCTGCTGGCAGGAAATTTGGTAAAGGCTGTGCAGCCATCTCACAGGCACAAGCCCCAATGGATGCTGGAGAACCACATTTCACTGATGCTGGAACAAGGATGTTAAGGGGGAAGCCTAATCCCAGAAGTGTGCTGTGATTTACCATAATCTCTGAAACACTGCTGCAACACGATTGCGTGAACTTTTTCTGGAGCAGGCTGGCACCCAGCTGCAGTCTCTGGGCAGCAGCAGCATCGTCTCGCAAACATTCCTGGGGCGGGCCAGCACCCAACCATTGCTTGGTGAGACCCTCCCCAAGAGAGTCAGAACGAGTCAAACCCAAAGTCCCTCAAAAGTGATGGGTTGGCAAGGGATACAGAAATGCTGATGCATAGGAGCACATGTACCCCAATGTTCATAGCAGCCCTCTCCACAATAGCTAAAACATGGAAAGAGCCTAAGTGTCCATCAACGGACGAATGGATCAAGAAGATGTGGTTTATCTATACCATGGAATACTACATGGCAATGAGAAACCATGAAATCTGGCCATGTGTAGCAACATGGATGGACCTTGAGGGTGTTATGCTGAGCGAAATAAGTCAGGCAGAGAAGGACAAATATCATATGTTTGCACGTATAGGAGGATTAGGAGCAACTTGACGTAGGGACAAGGGGGAGAAGAAGGGGGGGAATGGTGGGGGAAAGGGAGAGAGGCAAACGATGAGAGACTCTTGAATGCTGACAAAAACTGAGGACTGATGGATGTGGGGGGAGGAGGGATGGGCAAGGAGGAGGGCACTTGTGGGGATGAGCACTGAGTGTTATGTGGAAACTAATTTGACAATAAACTATTTGTAAAAAAAAAAAAAGTGATGGGTTGGGAAACACAGTCCCATTTGAGATAAAACTCAGGAGGTGCCGCCTGGCAACCTGATAGCTTGGTCACAAGACAGTGTAAAAGCAGGAAGTGGACGGAAGCCAGAGACAAAGGAAGAGGGTGCAATTGCTGGCTGTGAAGAGAAGAGAGTTCTGATACTAAAGACTGGGTAGCTGGGTGATACCATTTTTACCCCTCCCACACATGCACATACACACCTACATGCACCACAATTCACCCCAGTAAGCTAGGCAACACCATGTAGTTGAGAACAGAGCCATTACACTAAGCCCCCCCTAACTGGGCCAATCTTGTTCTTCAGGAACACCACAAGTCTCTCTGCCTGCTTAGTTACAGACTATAAAGTGCTTCACAGTTTGACTTCTAGGGGAAATCGATATAATTTCAATCACAGTTCAGTCTGTCTGCTGGTTCTTCATTCATTTTTTTTCATTTTTTATTCATGAATACAGAAAGAGAAAAAATTATCTTTATTTTCCATTTTTTTAAAGTTTTATTTTTTCTACTATATTTTTTTACTTTTATGTAAATTTTTCAAATTCTATTTTTTTAGTTCCATCATTTCATTTTATTTCATTGTATTCATTTTTTCAAATTTTAAAACATTTTTTTCTTTTCTTATCTTTTCCATGGTAAATACACCATGCATATTTATTCTTATGAATTTATATATGAATGTAATATGTAAATATATTCTCTAAATCCCAGATATAAAATATACAAAATTCTTTTAAATCCCAGTTACAGAGTGTATATGAAATCCTCTTTCTCTAAATATAATTGACATTAGGAAAAAGCCATTTAAAGTCAGTCCACGTAAGACAGATGAAAATTTGGGGTGCCTGGGTGGTTCAGTCAGTTAACTGACTCTTAAGGGGCTGACTCTTGATTTTGGCTCAGGTCATGATGTCACACTTTGTGAGATCAAGCCCTGCATCAGGCTCTGTACTGATAGCATGGAGCCTATTTGGGATTCTCTCTCTCTCCTCTCTTTGTCCCTCCTCGATTTGCTTGCGTTCACACTTTCAAAATAAATAAATAAATAAATAAATAAAGGGGATGAAAATTTCACATATAGTGGTAAGAATTTTGATATTATTATATAACAACTTATAACAAATTTTGGTTATAATTGCAATTATGTGCTAATTCTTAGTCATGAACAAATGAAGTAAGGATTTGGGCATACTTTTTCTGACAAAATTGTTACATACAAACTAACTTCACCTACTTTCTAGTTTCCATATCACAACTGTAAAGAAGGTTTCATTGTAAAAAATCTGAGATTGTGACAATTTTTCCAAGAACTTCTTTTAATCCTGATATTCGATTTTTTGACAGCATCATCTTTGTAATTTCTCTATTTTTAATTGCTGTGGCCTAACTCTGCCAAACTTTCATCTGTCATCAGTTTCATTTGTAATTTGAATTCAGCAACATCATTTTCATCATCTATCTACATCTTTTCAAAATTTGCAATTGAACCCTAAAATTACTTTGTATTGCATTAAGTGTTTTACAGGAGTATTCAACAATCCAGAAAAGACTGGCTAACAATGCCCCTAGGCTAGATAGGTGTGCATATATGAAGGACAACTAGTTTCATAAGTGATTTGTTTATCTGAATACAATTTTGGCTTCCCTCTGCAATCTCATAACTGTGGGGACTTAAATAGTAAATAGAAGAGCTGTGCAGTTTGAGCAGACAGCGGCAGGAGATGAGGTCAAAGAGGAAAGTATCCACATAGCAATGCTGCCTCCCATAGTGAAAGAATATGGGCACATGTATATCAGCAGAGTTTAAGAACAGCCAGTAAATGGGGTGCTTGGGTGGCTCAGTCAGTTGAGCATCCGACTTCAGCTCAGGTTATGATCTCAAGGCTCGTTAGTTCGAGCCCCACATTCGGCTTTGTGCTGACAGCTCAGAGCCTGGAGCTTGCTTCAGATTCTGTGTCTTCCTCTTTCTCTGCCCATCTCCCACTCATTCTCTCTCTCTTTCTGTCTCAAAAATAAGTATTAAAAAATTTTTTTTAAAAAGAACAGCCAGTAAACAAAGTAGCCATAAAAAGTAGATAGGAGAGTCACCCAGCAGAAAAACTTTATATGATAGTCATAAAAACCACCAATCTAATAACACATTCTTGAAAATAAGAGGAATTTGGGGGCGCCTGGGTGGCTTAGTTGGTTAAGGGTCCGACTTTCGCTTAGGTCATGATCTCACGGTTCATGGGTTCGAGCCCCGCGTCGGGCTCTGTGCTGACTGCCGGCTCGGAGCCTGGAGCCTGTTTCAGTCTGTGACTCCCTCTCTGACACTCCCCTGCTCACGCTGTCTGTCTGTCTGTCTGTCTCTCTCTCTCTCTCCTAGAAATAAATAAATTAATTAATTAATTAAAAAAGAAAGAAAATAAGAGGAATTTAAATAAAGAAAAACTCCAAGCTTTAAATTTTGTTTCAAATTCTTCCTGTAGAGTGTACAAATCTCAGTAGAAATAGATGAGACTTTTCCAGCCAGTTGGTTAAAACCACCCTTATAATACGTTTAAGAACCTCCCACTTAGATGTTAGCTTGCTAGTCTTTAGTCTTACAATATTAGTTTTTTGTCAGGCCTGACTCAGGGCACATTAGGAAAGGAAAGCAAAATATTACTATGAGACCAGCAACAAAACCACAGTGGAGACCACTACATCTCACACCTCAAAATCACTTCCTATATATTTAGGTACGGTAATAATAGATGGTATGGCAATACAGTAATGATCAGTGTTAGGCCTTTCAGTTTATTTTTTAAATAATTTTAAAAGCTTTTATTTTTAGAATGTACCAAAAAAACCCAACTTCAGGTCAAAATAATCTTTTTTCTCTTCCTAAGGAAGTACTTGGATCACATCTTGTCAATGTGAATAAAAATTAGAAAGCATGGTTTTCTGGAAGCCAAATATCATTTTTCTATGAAATACATCCAAAGAAACATGTCTATTCTGCTTAGTTCCATATTTACCTTTGTTTGGTGTTCAAGCATTTCCTTATGTTACAAAAACTGGCACACTTGGCTATCACTTCTAATTAATTTTATAAAGGGCAGAAATAGAAAAGCATAATCTTGAACCTCATAAGATTGAGTCAACAACTGGAATAAAACAAATTTCTGAAATGAACAAAAACATTTAAATGGACATTGGAAGAAAAAGTACATGTTCTGATATAAAGCAGTTAAAGTAAAACATCACTTTGGAATAAACATTTACTAGTACTCAATGATGCAGAACTAAAAGACTATTCCATTCAAAAGCCAAGACTTTTATATCGACCCGTTCCACTGGAGTCAGCAATTTCTTCCTGAGGAATTTTACAAGGTTCTAACAATCTTTAGCATTTCTTATTATATAACTCAACATGAGAAACCAATTTTCAAAAGGTGTTTCTTAATTATATTAAAAATGCAATGCTGAGCTATGCCAATATTCTATTCCAAAAAGTAAAAAAATGTAATCTGGGCCACATACTGAGAAGATGCTTGCACATAGTAACACTTTAATAATGCAATTTTACATGTGAATCAGCCTATTGTAAAAAGCTAAAAAATCTTTCCCTCTCTTTATATAACCATTATTTACTAGTAAGACATCATGACTAAAAATGAACAAAAACTATCCTTGATGTTGTATAGAAAAGAGATGTTTATACTATAATAGTTAAGGACACTTTGGTTTATAGGGAACAGAGAATCCAGTTCACAATAGCATATACAAACATGGACTCATTTTTTTCACAAGACAAACAATCTTGAACTCAGTGATTGCTAAGGTTGGTTTAGTAATCAATGAATTCATCAATCTTCAATATTTTTGCTCCACCATCCTGAACATATTGACCTTTTTATTCATATTTGTTGTCTAATGATTGTAAGATGATCACTGCAGCTCCAAACATCATATCTAAGGTCGAAGCAAGAAAAAGAGGTTAACTTCAGCCCTGTCTGACCCTTTATTTAGAAAAAAGGAAAGCTTTCCATGAAGTTCCCCCAGATTCACGGACTAGAATTATATTACTGCAGCAGTAAGAAAGGTTGTAAAATCAAAATTTTAACTTTCTAATTTTTATGGTAGAGGTAAGGAATGGATATGGGTTGGTCAACCAACAATGTCAGTCCTCAATTCAATATGCATGTGCGCAACCACATACAGGCACCACACACTGATTACACATATATGTTAAAAAGAACAGACTTATCATTTCTTCAAGGAAGGCAATCCCATTATTTCACCCAATTACTGTATGAAGCCGGATGCCTGGGTGATTTTCTATCTGTTCTCTGTAGTACAAATATGGCAATCTTATCTGACCATTTATATGGCTAGAAGATAACCTGTCTCTAAACCATTCCCTTTCTATCTAGATTTAAAAAATAATGAAATAAAAACAACAGAGTGGCCACAATAAAAATTCCATTAGGAAAAGGGGATAATAGGAACCACCCAGTGGTCAACAGTTCACAGCCCACATCATAATCTCATTGGTCAGAGATCAGAAATTCCTTAGCAGGCAATAAGGTAAATCCTTGGTTAACCAATCTGGCAGCTCTTAGTTTAAATCTCTGGAATATCTGCTTTGTCACTGCCCTCTATGGCCATATCTAAAGTAGGTTTTGAAGCAGATGCCCTTCTCAGGGGCTCCACAGCTTTTGTAGCTCCTTCATGTTGGTTTGATTTAGGAAAGAAGGAATGTGGATTGCTTAGAAGGTAAAAACAATCACAACTAATTGCCACCTCTATATTATAGTTCCCTCAAAGATGCATCAAGCTTCTGGGCTATTTTCTCCAGATCAATTCCTTGAATGAGTAACCATAGCCAAAAAACATTGCTGGAAATAATTTTTAGGCCTGGAGACTTTCATCTCTTAGCTACTGACTTTTAAACACTCATGAAAGATTTGAAGCAATTCTAAAAATAGTCTTAGGTGAAGAGGTACTGCACTTAATCCTTATAAAATTCCAAATTATGGGACTCTTGCTTCATTTAGAGTGTGAACTAAAGGCAGAATACCTCAATAGAAAGCTGTATTTTGCTGCCCTCACTGCTCTCATGCTGAGGGACACTAATTTGAGTCCATCCCTTTTTCTAGGATCCTCCTGAAAAGCCACAGAAAGTAACCAACACATGACACATTCCAAATTTCTCCTAACACTGCAGCTTCAGTTTGCACACAGTCAGCCTTCCAAGAAACAGCAGGCACAGGTTAATCAAATTCTCTGCTATCATATAACAAAGGTTACAACTTTTCTCCCCCTTTATTCCCCCATAATACGCCTGGAGATAGGAGTCCAAGGTTGGACACACTGTCCAACAATGTTCTAGACTCTTTTGATCCTTTTCCTCCACAGTCTTCAGTTTATTTGGAATCACATTTTCAGCCTCATACTTGTCACCTCATGGTTGCAAGATAGCTGCTACATCTCCCAGCTGTGGGTCTGCAGTTAAGGCACAAAGAAAGTGGAAAAAGTACCAGCCACCTAACAGTCTCTTTGTTAGGAAAACAAAAGCCTTCTGTAAAGTCAGCAGACTTGTCTTCAGGATCACTGGCAAAAGAGAATGGGACTGTCATGAATGACCTTAACTAGGGTTTTCTGCTTGAAGATGGGCACATTGTTGACCTAAGAAAATTAAGGTGAACAACAAGGAATGGGTATTAGAAAGGTCACTAAGAATATCTACCATGCATAGGTATTTATAGTTTTAGGAGAACATTTGACAAATAAAAACCAATCTCTATTTGCTGAAATTTCAGGCAATATAACAGAAGTGGGAGGGGGTGAGGGAAGCACCTCAGACAGTGTTATAAAATATATTTTAGGTAAAGAGATCCCTACTCATCCTACTTAGGAGTCCATCCCTGAAATTAGCACCCTTTAGCAACTCAGCTTTTCACAGACTTTCTCTTCCTTCAATTTTGAACCCACAGATTCTCTAAAATACCCATGTTTATTAACAACAGTTTCTATGGCAGCAGAGCCCCTGGTGGTGGGGCACAGGCGTGGAGGCTATTTATAAGTTAAGGACTGACAGTACATGCCAATAGCAGCTATTATTGATGATATCCTTGAGGAATTTCTGAAAGAGATAAATTTTGTGAAAACAACAACAAAATAAGAAATATTCATGGTGCCTGTTGTTCACCAAGAAACCTCTTGATTATAATTTGGTTTTCCATCTAGGTCCAACAACTGAAAGAAAAATACACTGATCATCCTGGTATAACTGGTTTATGTAACAGTTTTAAATCATTGCAGATTAATAAATTTACATTTTGGCTTTACAAATTAGGCTAATGAGGTTGTTAGACTAATTTAATGCTCTCTGAGACATTTAATGACCAGATCAGGTTTCTAAGATGACAAAACTGAGAGTCAGATCCTGGTAAATTCAAGAAGTAAGCTTATATCATCAATGTGGTCTTCTGAATAACAGCAGCTGGCCTAACCAAAGCAATAGCCCTTTGCATCACTAAGTGTATTGGTATGAACTTCTTTAAGACATTTATAGAAACAAAGAAAAATAAAAAAAAAAAAGGGTAGGGGCGCTTGGGTGGGTCAGTAGGTTAAGTGTTTGACTTCAGCTCAGGTCATGATCTCATGGTTCGTGGGTGAGAGCTCTGCATCAGGCTCTGTGCTGACAGCTGGAGACTAGAGCCTATTTCAGATTGTGTGTCTCCCTCTCTCTCTGCTCCTCCCCCTTTTCATGTTCTGTCTCTTTATCTCTCTCAAAAATAAATAAACATTTAAAAAATTAAATAAAAAAAAAGAAGCAGTAAGTCAATTTTCATTCTACACAGCAGCTCACAAAAGCCATTCTTTTAGTGATGTAAATTGTGCCACTTATCAATATACTCAAGTCACCAATGTTTCAATGAATAATAGTTTCAAGCAACTCTCAACCCACAATTATATATGTATATAATATGTGTGTGTACATACACATATACATATATATACACATATACATATATGTATATACACACACACACACATACACACACACATACACACACCCCTATATATATAGGTAAGTAGCATAGGGGTTAAGAGCATGGATTCTGAAACCAGAAAGATGGAATGCAAATTCCAGTTCCACACTGAAGTGTTCCACCACAGAATAAGTGTGCGATGCTGGGTAAAATCTTTGCACCCAATTTCCTCACCTATACAAGACAGCTTGAGGCAGAATAATACTGCCTACTTCAAAGAGTTTTCTGAATATAAAATGAATCTATACATGTAAAGTGCCTAGCACATAAGAAACACTCAACAAATGTTAGCTATCATTTACTCTATTTTTTTCCTTCAGTTTATTTATTTATTTGAGGGGGGAGGCACAGAAAGGGAGAGGGAGAATCCCAAGCAGTCTCCGTGCTGTCAGCAAAGAGCCCCACACAGGCCTCAATTCCACAAACCATGAGATTATGACCTGAGCCAAAATCAAGAGTCAGATGCTCAACTGACTGAGCCGCCAAGGTATCCCAGTTATCATTACTCTTAATGGGAAAACTAAATAGTGTATGGCTGCATTTTATGCAAATAGGAAATGATTTGATAATAAAGATTAATTTTATATGCAAAATTTGAAATAACACAAATTCTTCACAAATAATTCATCAAGAATCATAGTTTCGAGGTTGACTTGTGAGTGATTTAAAAAACTCTTTCAAAGGGTGCCTGGGTAACTCGTTTGAGCATCCCACTCTTAATATTGTGTCAGGTCATGATACCAGGGTTGTGGGATCAAGACCGCACTGCTTGAGATTCTTTCTCCTTCCCTCTGCCCCTCTCCCTCACTTGCGCACTCTAAAAAAGTAAATGAACATAAACTCTTTTAAGCTACTGCCATGTGGCCATAGCAAACTTTCCAGTCTTTGCTGCCAAGAATAGTCTTGAATTATCCAGGTCTCCTAAAAAAATGCTACAGCTCTACAAAGATATAAAGAAGATAAAAATCACAGCTTCCTAACCCAACCCTTTAGTGTTATCCCTGGCACCCTAGCCTTTCGAAAGGTTTTGTATGGCCTTGAAGACTAGACACTCTACAATCAACATCCAAACAGAGTTAAGTCTCTCAACACTGTCCCAGGAAAACTCTTCTTGAAATAATGGCCAGTCAGCCTGGTGATTTTTCACAGGTGTGTACCCTTCTCAGGCCTGGAATAATTACTATCTCTTCCCATTTTCCTCAGTGTACATAACTGGTCATCTTTAATATTTTCTTGTTCATAAAGAAATATTCTCTTAACGGCCCTGATTTTCCTCTAACACGTAACTACTTTTCTCTTTTACTCAAATACTGCCTTCATTTCTGTTTTACTCACCTCCATCAGCATGTTGTTTTTCCTTTTGCCTCTGACCATCACATATTCAAACTCACCTCCCCTAAACCACACTCACTCCAGTTCTGCAACTTCTTAAGCCATTCTTAACCCTCCACCCCATTCCCCATTGACTAGAGTCCATTTCTTTTTTTTTTTTTTAATTTTTAACATTTATTTATTTTTGACAGAGAAAAAGAGAGAGAGCATGAGCAGGGAGGGACTGAGAGAGAGACACAGAATCTGAAGCAGACTCCAGCCTCTGATCTGTCAGCACAGAGCCCAACGCAGAGCCTGAATCCACAAGCCGTGAGATCATGAACTGAGCCAAAGTAGGACACTTAATCAACTGAGCCACCCAGGTGCCCATAGAGTCTATTTATTTCTTTAAGGATAAACTCTTTTTATCCTAAGTTTATTTTTTACTTCTCTACAGTTCATTTTTAATAAAAATCTGGTTTTCCTTTAAGTCACAAGGTACATTTTCCAATATAACTGTTTAGTCCTTACTTTCTCCTCCTTCTCTGAATCAGTGGAAAGAAGTGAGAATAGTCTTGTCTTTGTTCCCAAATGCCATTTTCAGATTATCCCACTGTGGTCCACTTTTGTTTGAAATCTCCACCCTATCGCTCATTTCAATGAGCAGTCCTCAACAATCCTGAACACACTCATGTTTAAATTTATCCTCCTATCCTTCTCTTGAGTCTTGATAAAAGTGATTCATTAAGAGTCCATAATACCATTTCTGTCAGTGTTAACATATATGAATTTAGAGAGTATTATATGAAACAAAAATTAAACATGTTAATAATGGTCACATGGCCAACAATGGAACTGAAAAAAATATGACTATTTCTGGGCTCATAAAATAACTTTATAATTTTCCATGATACTCATGAAGTCAAGTTCTATAAATTTACATATTCTATCATTAGAAATATACCATGTTAGCTACTGTCTTAGACATAAATCACTATGTGTTTTTCAAAATAAACCACGGCATCATAAAATTAGATGGATGTATAAGTGGGTATATAAGCTGTTCTTGGCAGATGATCAGGCTACTTAGACCTTTTAGAAAGCGGATTCTACAACTTCCCAACATAAATCCTTCTAATCTTAAACATCCTTAATTTCAAAATCTTTGATTTTTCTAATATAAATTTCTAATATAAATTTATCTAAGGACATGGGGAAAGGACAGGTACCATTCTCAGTATAACAATATCTTCCTGCCTGAAAAGTATGATTACCCCTTAGCCTTTGCTTTTCTAAGCTCAACAACTTGGACTATTTTCCAGACTCCTATTCTCCAAAACTTTCCTAACCTTCTTTAGTTCTACTCATATTATTTTAAAATTATAAAGACCAGACTTAGATTTAGCCAGTTTACAGAACTTTGTTGTTTGTAATGTTTTTACAGTTGATAAATAATTGAACAAGATTCCATACGTACAGGCTTCTGAAATGAGATTCAAACTTCTATAAATTAAAAGTTACAGAACTTTCCATATTGTGGAGTCTACCTGATTGTCTCTTAAACCCATAATCTATGGTTATAGTTGACAAATCATGGCTATATGTATGGTTGCAAAACATTAGAAAGAATTAACAGATACTTACTTACTTGATTTGTCCTTGGGTGAAAGTTTTTTCTCCTAGATTGTAGAGTAGAGAGGAAACTGGCTCTCACTTTATAGTTCACCTCTATTTCTTCTGCTTTGATAGAAATTATGGCAGCCAAAAATAAAAATAAAAATGGGAAATATTTTACATAACAATTTTAGTAACATATGAAGAAAAGGAAAAGAGAATCTGTTTACCAATTTCATATGAGCCTTTTCTTTTACCTAGTGATACCCCAGCAGAAATTTTACTTTGTTCATATGTTTAATTTCTCCTCCTTCCCCAACCCTTTTTTTTTTAAGCCACAGGAAAACTATTCATTGTTAAATACAAGGCTAAAAGTTGGATTAAGAGGAAAACAGAATTTTATTAAAAGGGTATTGAACGGGGGATTACCTTTCAAGCAGGGAAATCTGGGGGATGGTAAAGAATTGTATTTCTTTTATTATAAAAGTTATTTCTTGTATTATGCCTCTAACAAGAAAAATACTATGGACAGAGAGTTAAGAAGACTTGTCATTTCAGTAAGGTGGTAACCTTCATGAAAAAGGAGGAAAAGTGGTATACAATATGATCTGTCTTCCTCTTTCAAACTTCCACTTCCCCCAAAAGGCTTTATTTTATATGGCACTGAGATGAGGGCAGTGGCTCATAAGACCTTAATTATATAAAAATAGCATATTGGGGCACCTGGGTGGCTCGGGCACCTGGGTGGCTCAGTCGGTTAAGCATCCGACTTTGGCTCAGGTCATGATCTTATGGTTTGTGGGTTCAAGCACTGTGTCGGGCTCTGTGCTGACAGCTCAGAGCCTGAAGCCTGCTTCAGATTCTGTGTCTCCCTCTCTCTCTGCTCCTCCCCCACTTGTGCTCTGTTTCTCTCGGTCTCAAAAATAAATAAACATTAAAATTTAAAAAAAAAAAAAGCGTATAATAAAGCTCAATTCATTTGAATACCATCCACTTTGTGATCATTTTAGCCCAATGGTATATTCAGAATATGATATACAAGAGGGGGCTCACCTTTAACACCTCCTCCCCTATGTGACAAAATTATTTCAAGTAATGATCATAAAATGAAACAAATAATAATATCCAGGAAAAAAATCATGAAATTCTTTTATTCAACTCCACTTCTATGCCAATATAAAATAAATATATAGTACCAAAAAAAAGTAATGGAATTAATGTTGTTGAAAAAAGGAAAAACTTAAACCTATGTATTGGTCTTTTGACGTACTGAATAAAAACATTACACCTCCTATTCTCTTGATTTGTTCTTTAGTTTTTGAGCAAACATTAACAAAAAGAATAAATTTCAAAGTTAAAAATATTCTTTGATTCAATTCTTTAAAAGAATCATTTCACGTATGAACTAAAATGTGTACTTACCAACCCAAAATATTACACATCAAGTTTGCACTTTGTTTCACTTGAGTTTTCCACACAAATGAAAACTCTAACTGGTCACACAGAATAACAACACTGAAGCAATCAGGTTCTGTTTCTTCATCCTTTTAATCGATGTGCTACCACTGTTTATTAATAATTAACATTTAAATGAGAGATACAGACCAAAGGAGTTGGAGACATGAACTGTGCCCAAAGCTCTGAACTACCCTGAATTCTTATGAATTTACTTGGGGAAATACGCATACTGATAAGTCTCTGTTTATTGAAGGCCAGAGAACTGGGAGTTCTCTGAATTAACTTCCATGTAGCACATAGTTATTAAATGGTAATTAAAATGTGCTAATTTAAAGCTTATATAAACATTATTAAAACTTAACAGTAACTACAGAAATTGTTTAGAACTTAGACTGATAGATTTTTATCACTGACATTGTTTAGAATTTCTGATACATAAAAATTAACAGTAATAAGAAGCAGACAAATTTTTAGTGGGTTTGTTTAAATTTTTAAAAAATTTTCTTGGGGCACCTGGGTGGCTCAGTCAGTTAAAAGCCTCTAACTTCGGCTCAGGTCATGATCTCACAGCTCATGGGTTCGAGCCCCACGTCAGGCTCTGTGCCGACAGCTAGCTCAGAGCCTGGAGCCTGTTTCAGATTCTGTGTCTCCTTCTCTCTCTGACCCTCCCCTGCTCATGCTGTCTCTCTCTCAGAAATAAAGAAAACATTAAAAAACTTTTTCTTAAATATTTAAGTTTTGAGAGAGAGAGAGAGAGAGTGTGAGCAGGGGAGGGGCAGAGAGGGAAGGAGACACAGAATCAGAAGCAGGATCAGGGCTCTGAGCTGTCAGCACAGAGCCTCATGTGGGGCTTGAACTCACGAACCACTGTGAGATCATGACCTGAGGCAAAGTTGGACACTTAACCAACTGAGCCACCCAGGCGTCCCTATAGTTTTAATTTTCTAAGGACAATAAGAATTACTATTGCCTACACCCAAGGTGATGGTCCTTTTGCCCCACTCTCTGAATGCCCTGGCTCAAGGTGAAATCTACCATTGAGGTACTATCCTTGAAGATGGGTTTGCTGAATTATATTTAACCTACTAGTAAGAAAACCTTTTAAATATAAATTAAAAAAATTTTTAATGTTTATTTATTTATGAGAGACAGAGACAGAGTATGAGCGGGGCAGGGGAAGAGAGAGAAGAAGACAAAGAATCCGAAGCAGGCTCCAGGCTCTGATATGTCAGCACAGAGTCCAAAGCAGGGCTTGAACCCACCAACCACGAGATCATGACCTGAGCCAAAGTCAGATGCTTAACCAACTAAGCCACCCAGGTGCCCCTAAATATGAATGTTAATTGAAGACCTACTGAGTGCCTGGTAGTATTTGTGCATGTGTGTATGCACAGGAGTTTTGCTAATTTTAATTCAATCATTTTTATTCATTAAAGCCATCTCAGCAGGATTTTTTAAAGAGCTGTTTTGGGGCGCCTGGGTGGCTTAGTCGGTTAAGCGTCCAGCTTTCGCTTAGGTCATGATCTCGCGGTTCGTGGGTTCGAGCCCCGCGTCGGGCTCTGTGCTGACTGCCAGCTCAGAGCCTGGAGCCTGTTTCAGTCTGTGACTCCCTCTCTCTCTGACCCTTCCCTGCTCATGCTGTCTCTCTCTCTCCTAGAAATAAATAAAACATTAAAAAAATTAAAAAAAAAAAAAGAGCTGTTTTGTTAGCACTTACTGTCTGTACTTAAACGTTTAAAACAGTATCACACAAAATCACATATATTCCATTTTTCAGGACTCTCACTAACTCAGATTGCTTTCTCCCTGTGTGTTCCAAATAAATGAAGAAGCAATAAATCAACATTTAAAAAAGGATTTTAAATATTAGCAGACACATAAACATTAACAATTTAAGATCTGTTGGTATTAAATTTCATAAATCATGTGGCATCAGATTTATATGTTCCCTTTTTATAAGCAACTACCTCAAGAGAACAAATTATAACACTGATGTCAATCTTTTTCAGACATTCACAAGATCAATATAATCTCTACTCTGCCCTCATAATCTTATAGCAGCATACATGCACAAGTTTTCTTATTATGTGATTCTAGCACTCTTGAAAAGAGTCTTTTTAGCTTAAAGAAAATCTGACTTACCTCAAAAGACATTTTGGTATGGGATATCATGCCAATTACAGCCACATTAAAAGCGGATATATCTGGCAAGAAAGTGACATACAAGGCTTAAACCCAGTTAATTCCTTCCACTCCTGCTTGATAACCCCTATTTTCCTATGGCTGGGGGGCTCCCTCACCCACAAAATTCCCACTGGCTAGTCACCTAGTCTTCTGAAGCAGTACCTGTTCTGTTTATAGCTCTAGTATTCCCCAATCTCTCCTATTGATAAGAATCCCCTGGGGCAGTTAAAAATAAAAATCACATGCCACTTTTCCTGCAGATTAGATTTTAATGGATTTGAGGTAAGGCTCCAGAATCTGATTTTAAACAACAGTCACCAAGTGATTCTTATAGGCAAATTTAAGAACAAGCTAAAAGAGGCTCTTCAGTTCCTCTACACTGAACAGCCCCAAGGACTAGTCCTTCTCTGAGCGTTAGTGGTATTTGAAAACAAGGACAGGACAAGTTTGGAGAAAGCAGAATGCCATCATGTCTACCTCCCTCTGTTTTCAACACCCTATATAATTTACCTAAGCAGGGGAAGATTTTAATTTGGAGTATGTGCTGTTGAAGTAGGATACCACCAGGGGCCAGTATAGAGCTGACAAATTATACATGTTCGGGGATTTCTGACTTCACACTACCACATAAAAAGGTTGCACCTACATTTTCTATAAACTCAGATTACCAACAACAACAACAACAACAAAAGGTGGTTGGGCCACCACATTTAGAAGACACAGGTAAAAGATGTTAGTATGCAATTTCTACATAGTTTTCCCTCTGTCTTACGAAAACCCATTGTAGACAGAAAGTTCCCTTGAAGTAGCATTGCACATGGAACCAAAAATTATAGTAGACTACAAAGACTCCAGGTAACCAAAGTGATATTCCAATTTGTAAATTTCAAAACACTTGTCCTACTCTTTTAACTAGCCTCGTAACTGGGTGCTTTTCAATGGTATTAATCAAATCTTTAAAGTTCTACTAAGTGGGGAAAAACTAGAGTGGAAAACAGTGTTGGCCAACTATATCAAGGCTTTTTTTTTTTTTACACCTTTTTTCGAGTGTAACTGAAATGCTGCCACCTGTCAAAAAACTATACTCCCCTCACCGCCATTTCATCCATCCTCCCAAATTTTCCTGACCCATCCCATGTTTCACCCTTCCAGTCCACATTTCTTCCTTCTGGGAATGTAAAAGAAAAATTCTCTAGCAACCCAGGTAGCTTCTACAAATATCACCTCCAAGGCTTTTTTCCCCTCTTAAATTCCATCATTAGGATAAGAAACACAGATGAGGGATGGCCTGAAGAAGAAATTTTACCTATTCCCAGGTTGCTGAATTACATACTCACACCCTACTAGACATTCCTGAGTCTGAGAAAAGCATGATCCAGCCTTGACCTAGGTAAATGTTTCAACTCCATAATTTCCATCTTATAGCTAGCAAAGCAGAAGGGAGACAAGAATGACAAAAACACTCCTGGGAGGCCAAATGGGCTTAAACAAAAACAAAATCCACTTCAGAAGAGGTAGGAGATCCAGAAAATAAGGTTGTTTGCAAAGCCAAAGGCTACACTGGAGTAAGTGTTCTAAAAAGGAAGATTTCCAAACTTTTCAAGTATCTTAACAAAAAATATCAGGACCCAAAGGAAAATGACTATATTTTTAGCATAAGCTGATGCAAACTACAAATAAAAGCTATGAATCCAGAAGCTGTCATAGTGACCATGTTCCACCGCTCACAGCACTGCAGACATTAGACCTGTGCATATATATGTGTATATGTGAGGACTCTTAACCTACAGGGAATAACTGTGGTTGCATCCAGAATCCTCACCCACTCCACTTAATTACATGGGGGGGTGGGGGCGGCAGCGATTCGTGAGCAAAATGCCTAAAAGGCCGTCTTAAGAGGGCGATAATGGAAAGGAAAAAAAAGGTTGAGAAACACTGCCCTACAAGGGTCCTGGGCTGAGACTAACAAATGAAGACTCTGATAGGTATTTTTCTCCCAAGACAGCACAGGTCTTTGCTTCTGTTACGACCTGGACCAGAAAAGGTGGCTTTCCACTGGGTGGCCTCAAAACGTAGAGGGTAATGCCAGCCATTCGCTCCCTCACCGAGTGCCATGTGCGGATGTAACGAAAAACCGGCAAAGAGCTCTGGAAACTGCAAAGCGCTGCACCAAAGCCAAAGGAGGTTAATGCGCTCCATCGTACGAAATCCCCCGGGCGGGGCCCGGCCGGTTTCCGTACTTGTTGCTTTCCCGGGGCGCCCAGCCCGCCTCCACCTCAGATCTTCCTTTCGCTACCCCTCTCTCTACAAGCGCACACGCGGGCCCCCCACCCCCGACCCGGCCTCGCGACCCCCTCACCAACGCTACGACGCCGGCACGCTGCGTTCGGCCCCCGGTGGCTGCCCAGCACCCGCCCCCTTCCCTGCAGCCGCAGCCAGCCCGACCAGCCGAGACTGCCGTTTCCTAGACAGCCGCGCCGCCGCTCCGCAGCCGCCGGGGCGCGCGCGCGCGCGCGCGCGCACGGCGGGAGGCGAGGGCGCAGGCGCGGGCCCGGGCAAGCCGCCGGAGCGAGGCCGCGCGCGCGCCCCCGAGCGCGGTGGGCGGAGGAGCCCAGGGAGCGGCAGAACCGCGAGGGGGCGGGAGGGGGGGCGGACAGGGGAGCCCCGGGAGCGCGAGCTGCGGCCGGCGCAGCTGCAGAGCCAAGCGAATCCCGAGCCCAGGCAGCAGGTATGTGTCCTCGAAGTCGGCCGTGGCCGGGACTTCCCCGCCTCGGTGCCCGGGTCCTGTGGCCGGGCTGGAGGTAGGGGCCACTCGAGGTTTGCAGGATGCGTGTCCGGGAGGGCTGGGATCTCACCACTGACCTTCATCCCGGCTCGCCAGGGGAACAAGACGAGGGTGCGTGGGGCAACCCAGGGCTTCAGCGCCAACCTGGCAATCTGCTTTTGTCACATGCCTCTTATTTATTTTTGCAAACTGCTCTGGTTCGGGTCCAGCTGCAGATGTTTTACCTCCCATTCTTTGCCACCGTGTGCCATCTTGCATTTATTAATAAAACATGCAAGCTGGGGTGTGGGGGTGATTGCTGCTGGGGGAATCCCATTGCAGTATGGGATGAGTGGCGCCTATTTTCGGTTTTCAGGCGTGGTATTGAGGTGGAAATCCCACACCGTAGGCATTTGTGGTTTGGTTGGTCGTGACCACTTCCTACTGGGCTTCCCCCATTTGTCTGGAGGCAGTACAGCGGCAGGATGGGCTGTCAGGAAAGGATGGTGGGTTTTCACCGTCAGCCCAGAATCCCCTTCAGGGGACAGGTGCAACTTAGGGTAGACAATTCCCTGCTTACTAACTTGCAAGGAGGCTTAAACCCAGAAAATTGTTTCCCTTGGTTGCCAAGAGGAGGCCTTGAACAGAACCCTTCAGACTTGCATACTCAACTCATTAAGGTTTTGAATCTGAAGATGACTAAATCTTGCCACCTGTTGGAAGTCAGACCCCATGAAATCTTCCATAATTTATCCCACCAATCCCCGTTTCAGTCACTAATCCCTAGTGATACGCCCATATTGGTTTTTCCTATCTTCTTTAATACTGCTTGGCTTTTGTTTCTTTTAAAATAAAACCTATGATTTGTTGTTCAGTATGTTATAAATTACCTGATTTGTTTATATTCCATACACCCGATAAAATCATATCCTAAAGACTAAATTTGTTTAGTGTGTATGTTACCTATTTCCTAGCTTTTCACCTGGCTTCAAACAGTGGGGAAAGTGGGATATATCTTTTTACTGTGGTAAAAAGAATAGTAAAAGCTAGAAGCATAGAATGAAAATGGTTATCACAAGACATTGGAATATGGCAGTAGAACTATTGGCTTGTAAAATATAGTCTGTGCCATATCTAATCATGAGGACACATTCTTAAATGCTCATATGTGCCAGGTACTGAGCTAAAGGCTGTTTGTGCATGATCTCGTTTAGTCCTTAAAAGAGACCTATTATATGCATGTTAAGATGAAGAAGCTAAGACTGAGAAAGGTTAGCTAACTTGCCCAAGGTCACACACAGCCTGGATAAAGGAGCAAACTCAACTTGAAAACATCTGATTGCTGGGACTGGAGGGTCATTGGGAGGAACCTTTAACACTGGTGCTGCTGCTTCATATACATTTGCATTAAGATCAAGCTTATGCGTGAGCATACATCCTTGGATCCGATTTTGCATTTCATAGATTCCATATCAGTCTTTGCAGCTTTCCAGTAAGAGAAACTGTTGTTTCAGAATGGGTGGAATTTTTTGAGGTGGCACTGAGCCTATAAAAAATGGTGTCCTAGACATGCTTCCATTTAACTCTCTCAAACAAGCAGTTAAGTTCAAAAAGTTGTTTCCCTTCTGATTTAAATCTATAAAATGTATATACATCAGAGAGAATGAATCACTCATGTTTTTCATTATCACATCACATTCCAGTCTTGCCACCATGCACACTGGCTTCTGGTCTCACTGCCAGTCATAAGAACATTACCTGTCACACTCGTATGTGAGTGCCTTAATGGGGTGAAGGGATCCATACCAGTCACAGACCATAATCCAGTCTCTCTGTGATTGTAGCAGTTATTCATTTGAAAATCTAAGAATCTATGCATTCAACTGTGGATGTCTACTCAATGGTTTTTTTTAACAAGTGCATATTGTAATGCAAATTTTGGATTTTGCTACATATTCCTAGTAGTTCTTATAGACTTAGAAATTGCACAGTTGCATCAATGGAAAAAGCACTCAGTGGGCTACAAACTTGTTTTCAGGTCACATATTTAAGATGGTGGTGAAAAAAGTATAGGTAAATATAAAGGATTATTTGAAAATTATATCCCATGGAAGTTGCAGTTTGTAATTACAAATTGGTGACTGATATCAGATAGAAAATATAAAACTATCTTATACATTTTCTTCCTTGAACAATGTAACTGGTTTTAGGACAATATAATCTTACTTTTTTCATTATACTGTGTTGTGTTGACAGTAAAGCAATTTACGTAGCCATTTTTCCTCATGGAAAAGACTTGGTTTTGGAAGAAAGAACACATTCCCCAGTGCTTATGGAAATGCTGAGATGGAGTCTTCCCACCCTGGGGATTTCCATTTCTGCATCAGATAAACTCAAGAGGAGTCCTGGTGTTACTGGGGAAGCAGCAGAAAGTAAAGAGAAGTATTGTTTAATTTCTGGAGAAAAATGGGTTTTCCTGTGTAAAGTATCACTATATTTTTCAGTAAGAAATCTCATAATTAAAAAGCATCCAAGGGGCGCCTGGGTGGATCAGTCAGTTGAGCGTCTGACTTTGGCTCAGGTCATGATCTCACGGTTGGTGAGTTCGAGCCCTGTTTAGGGCTCTGTGCTGACAGCTCAGAGCCTGGACCCTGCTTTGGATTCTGTGTCTCCCTTTCTGTCTACCCCTCCCCTGCTCACGCTCTGTTTCTCTCTCTCAAAAATAAATAAACATTAAAAAAATTTTTTTTAAGTGTCCAATAAAGTAGACTAGTGTACTCTCTTCCATTCAAGCTGGATTTTATTTAATGCAGAACTGAGCATCCTTTTGGGTGCAGCGGTCAGGCTGAGGAACGTTTCTAGACTACATTTTTTTTTCTTGAATCATGTATTTAAACTGGGAAAAGCTGAGGGGTGCCTGGGTGGCTCAGTTGGTTAAGCATCCACTGGCCCAGGGCATGATCTCACAGTTCATGAGTTCATTCAAGCACTGCATCCAGCTCTGTGCTGACAGCTCAGAGCCTAGAGCCTGCTTTGGATTCTGTGTCTCCCTCACTCTCTGCCCCACCCTCATTCTCTCTCTCTCTCTCTCAAAAAGAAATAAACATTAAAAAAAATTTAAACTGGGAAAAACTGTATGGTCAACTATGGATGCTTAAGCATTATTTTTTTCCCCCTCACCAAGTGTCTTTTTGGGTTTTTTTGGAGGTGAGGAGAACAGATAAAATTTTGCCAAGCTATGGCTAGCATGCATTGCAGTGACTGATTGTAATGCACATTTTAATGCATTGTTAAGTAAGACACTGGAAACTGGCTTGTCTTTCTTTGACTGACCTTGTAAGCTACTTAGTTGTGAAATGTGTTTTTTGTTATAGTATTCTTAATTTACTATTCTTTAAAATGAGATTTTTTTTTCAGTGTCAACAATCTTGAATCATAAAAGAAGTTCACAGTCAGCTTACTTTAAGATACTTTATTTTCATCAGTCTCGTTTTCTCCCCTTGGTATCAGCCATTGCAAGAGTTTTAATTTTATTAAGAAAATGGTTCACAATCCACAAGTTAATCCATCCCCTTTGCTAACTGGACCAGAGTTCACAGTTGCTGGCCGGGCACACCCACTCTAAGACCTTCACCTTATGTAGTTCAAGTCTGATTTGTGAATCCTCTAGCTCCCTTTGGCCTTATTTGTACCCAGTTTCCCCACATGAAGATGTAAGAGTTCCTACAGTTAGGTCACACCAGGCAGGCCTTGCTTGGGTAAGCAAGGTGGGATGGTGGCTACTCAATACTGATATAATAGAGGGCCAGGAAATCACTTTTGCATCAACACTAGCCTATATTGTGATTTTTGCTTGTGAATGTAGTATATACTCATTGTAAAATGTGAAGTATTACATAAATATAGAAGATAGAAGGGCAGTGATTAGAATCTTTAGTAATCTTACCCCTCAGTCAACGTTAATAGTTAGGTGTGAATTCTAGATTTTTGAATGTGGATACTAAAATACTACTGTTTGCCAACCATACTATATACATAGATGCATACTGGTTTGCAGGTTTTTTTTTTTTTCTGGTACTCCAGGAGGCTCTTGAATAGCATAGTTCTAAACACGTTTTACTCAACCGCAATGGGAGCTGGATGAGAGGAACCCTGTAACCAGGGGAAGAGGCAAGAGACTAACGTGTTGTGGGTAGGAACTAGGCATGATCTGTGTCCTATGATAGGTAGTTTTACATTCTGTATCTCCTTTAACCCTTTACAGTTATCCTTTGTGGTTAACTGTGTGTAGATGTGGAGACAGGAGAGTCCAAGGTATAGGAGATTTAAGGAGCCAAGCTAAGTTCAAGCCCAGATCAGTGTGACTCAAACTCAGGGCTTTTTCCTTTGGATTGAAGAATGAATAGCACTCTGCCTGTGTCCATCCACACTGACCTCCTTGCTGTCCCCCCGCCTCAGAGCCTTAGCATTAGTGGTTCCCTGTCCTGGAATGCCCTTCCCACAGATAACTGCTTGGTTTGCTCCCTCACCTCCTTTTGTCTCTGCTTGAAATCTGACTACACCTTTAAAATGAAGCACTCTCCAATAAGCATTCTTAGCTCTACTCCCTGCTTTGTTTTCATTCATAGCCCCTCCTAATTTACCATATAAATTGGT